TCAGTTAAAACCAAGCACCATTTAAATGTGCTCTTCAGTCATCCCTATGTGAAAGCTTGACTTAATGCAACCTCTTCAGTTGTTGAGCTCACCTGGAGGCAGAGTTGCTAGATACTTGCTGTCCTTCCTTTAGAAACGGACCCACTATTTGAGTAGTTAGGCCTGGTGGCTCTCTCCCCAGTGACCGTCTTCTCCTCCCATTTGGACATCCATGAAAACTGCCCTGCCCAGAGCAGAGATGGTGAGGTAGCATCTAAAAACTTGGATGATTCTCTTGCACAGACACAAGCACGTTGAACAAGTAACCCACTACCTATGAAAAGACCTGCAAGCATCAATCCTAAAAGAAGAGGAGACCCACCTTCTCAAGGTCTTCGGCATGAGCGCAATGTGAAAATCGGGTCCCATATCAGTGTTTCGTTTTGCTGTACCTCGAATGGAAGCAAATAATCTCGCAGAAGGGAGACGGGTGTTCCTGTCGCCGTGAGACGGCAGCGATGGTCCATCTGTCGATGACTCTTCTTCCTTGCAGCACTGCCCCATCCCTTTCTCCGCTGGACTTGGCAACATCCCACCCATGTGCTCTGCCCTTATCCCGGGGGGCAGTGCAGTACAGCATCCGGTTAGCGTGCTGTTGACTCTGGGCTCTTCACACCTCTTCTTGATGCTGTTATTCCTGCCACGCTCACATCTGTCAGGGTAACGAGAACTTGTTGCCTTCCTCCCAAGTTTCTGTTTTCCGAGTTGTCTGAGCAACCTAGAACTCAAATTACCAGAAGGCTGCCATGCCCCTAGGTGTCTATATAAATGATGAAGCACTTGAGATGTCTAAGACCCCTCCAAAAAGGAACTATATTTAGACGGTGCCTCTCCTAACAGATCATCACTTGCCTTTTTATCTGTGCAGTTTTGTAAGACTTCAATTTGTGCTTCAGAGGAGGTGGCTGGCAGGTCTTATCTCTGTCTCGCTGATAGGGACAAGGCAATATTGGCTGTAAAGGAAACTCTAGGAGACTTAAATTGCCTTTTAAAAGAAAATCACATGCTTTTATTTATTCCCACACCCCTCAAATATTGGAACTTCGGGGGGTTTTGGCCCTGATATGCTAATTGCTCCTTGCTTGCTTAAATAGGAAGCAAATGTTATTATGACCCTAGTCTGCAGCCTGCCTTCAGCCATGCTGTAAAGTCTGGGTAGAGCATTTGAATTGTATGTCGCACTTTTCTCCCCCAGCCAATTCCTACTCCTCCTCATTTATGGCCTGGCTGCTTTGTCACGTCCTGATTTATTTCGAGTATCTCTGATATCAGTGCAATGTCCCCAGTCAGTCTTGTAGTGATCTAAATTTGGGTTTAGTAGCTATGCCACAAACTAGCCCTGTTCCTTCCCTGAATGCCATTCTGACCCTCTTCTTCCATCCAATCTGCTGCTCTGCTTTCTGCTCCCCACTCGGTGCTCCCTGCCTGATCTCCTGCTCTGCTGCCATTTTCCTGCCCTGTCTGCTGCTGTGCTGCAAGTCCCTCCTTTGATCTGTTTGTGCCACTTCTGGCACTTGTGCTAGGCTGACCCTGATCGAAATAAAGCCAAATCGGGTCCTTTGGAAAACCAGCTTTGCAACAGAAAGATGGAGGACAGTTCTACCGAATGAGCAGGCAATCATTAGGTACTAGAAGTCTTTTGGTAATTGTGTGAATGAGTGATAGGTGCCAAGATCCCAAATTAAACTTAGATGCTGTGGGTGTGTCTACATGTGCACTTTAATGCACATAATCTATTTTAATGTGCATTAAAGCATCACTAAAAAGTGCTATTTAGTTCATGCATATTAAAGTAGGCTAACACACATTCAGCATCCTTTAAACCGTGCTCTTGTGTTAATGCACATTAAGACGGGAGAATGTACATTTTCTTAGTACCTCCCAGTGGAGGTACTAGATTTAATGCGCATTAACTTTAAGCACCTTAATGCACGTGTAGACGTGCCCTGTGTTATGGAACATGGGTTTAACCTAATGGGTCCCTTGATCACTTGCCCCTGCCCATGTAGTTAGGGGAGTAGGATGGGTGTCTGCAAAGAGAAGCATGCTCACAAATATGATTAAAGTCCATCAGTAACACTTTGCCTTCATGAAATTCAGCATTCAAATGTTCTGCTATTCTCACAAGAAATAAAGTGCTCTTGCCACAATGCTGCGTGCTGCGTTGCATGCGTGGGGGCTGACAGCTACTGAATAATGCAGCGGCTTTCAGTCACGTACAAGTGGGGGAGATGGCATGAAGCAGATCATCCAAGATGGTATTCAGCAGGATCAGCCCAAGCACTCGGTGCATGATCTGAATACCAACTTGCTTTAGTAGCAACTGCTGTCCCAATCTGCTTTCATGTGGCTCTGAATGATCTCATTGCTCACTATTCCTTTGTATTCATTGGAATTCAGCCCACTTCAGAAAACATGTTTTACAATTAACTCTTTCATCAAGAAAGTTGAAACAACTGCTTTTCCTTGCTTCTCTGGCACATCAGTTGCACAAACCCTAGGATAACAAATGAAAATGTAGGGAAGGCTTTCCTTGTGTTTTCCCCCCCCCCCCCTTTAAAATCTGGAGGAGTATCCCTTCCACTAATATTTTGGAGGCAGTCATTTCAAGTCCGAATGTTGTAGAAATGGCACAACAAGCTTGTAGTAAAGCTAATTCTGGATCCATTCTCTTCATCCTTTTGAAAGTGGCCTGGCTGACTTGCAAACCAGTACCTACTACCAGGACTCTCCCCTTTGAGAGGAAAAGAGTATTTTGACTTCAGATTTCAGAGTGCATGTGAGATTTTTTTGTTTGTTTGTTTGTTTTTAAAAAAAAAAAAAAAAAAAAAAAAAAAAAAAAAAAAAAAAAAACCAGC